AAATGGCTGGTTAGGAAGATTGTATGCTTCAGATTATGACAAGCCTGAGATTCAAATCCCAGTCCTGAAAATTACCAGCTGTGATCTTGTACTAAGGACATGTGCTCTATCCACAACATGTTATACACCATCAAAAATCTTGATAACAGTATTTTTTTCAGGAGTGCCATAGGAGGATCGTCCATGTCAGGAAGATCAAGGAAAACACACGTAAAGCTTACACAAAATAAGTCCTCAAAAGCTATTGCATTAAACACTTACCAACTCATTCTTTGAGGCCAATATTAAACATAGAGTTACTGTATGACCCAGTAATTCCACGCTTTTATATACACCCAAGAACACTAGAAATGTATATTCATGTAAAAATTTGCAGGCAATTGGTCATTGCAGCATTATACACAATAGCCAAAAGTAGAAATAATCCAAATGCCTATAAATAGATTAATGGACAAAGAAAATGTGGTATACCCATACAACAGAATTCGTTAATAAAAAATACATGCCACAACACAGATGGTCCTTGAAAACATTATTCTGAGTGAAGAAGCCAGTCACAGAAGACAACATTGTATTTATAAGAAATGTTCAGAATAGGCAAATCTGTAGATACAGAGGGTAAATTAGAGTTCCTTAGGGTTGGCAGGGTTAGGACAAATGGGAGTGATTGTTTGTAGGTATAGGGTTTCTTTTTGGGGTGATAAAAATGTTCCTAAATTAGCTAATGTTCCTAAATTGCCTCACCTACAACAAACTGACTACCCCTGCAGTTTCGCCAATGATAAACCATCATCACCCTGGTTTTCTCCAATGGATTTTCCCCCAAAATAATTTTCCAACTTCCTCCTTTTCCATGAAAGAGTTGTTTCTCTTCTTTGTTAGCTGAACTTGTCTACCATTTTAGCGGAGGGTTCTCCTCCTGAATTGCAATTCTGTTATTCCAAACAAACCCATTTTGCTGGTAAAAATAACTTACTTTTATTTTTAAGGTTAACAGATACAAGTTCCAGAAGAGTCTTGGGTGGGGCTCCACTCTTCACTGTGGACAAGCTTAATGCAGTCATCTAAAACAAGCTCGATAGAAGTGGCCTCACCCTTTCCACCTCTAGACTACATTTCCCAGAAGTTATTGCGGCTCTGATCAACTTCCGTGGGAACGCAGCAACCTTTTTCTATTTCTTCAAAAACATGTGGCTCCCAGGCACGAGCAGGCCCCAGAGAGGGAGCTTAGCTCCAGGATGTGTGGGTTGTGTCCTGCGGGAACCTAACTCGGAGACTGCGCGTGGATCTAGAAGACCCCTTGCAGAGATCTGGAGACGGGAGCAGGAATATCGGCTTGGCCCAAGCTTAGGCGCCGGCAGGAAATCCAAGCGCCAGGCGCCATCTTGTCTGAGCCGACCTGCTTCCGGACTACATTTCCCAGAGGCCTCCGGAGGAACAGGGCCGCTCCTTCGCTCGCCTGCCGGATCTTCGGCCTCCCGGCAAGGGGAATTACAAGGTGAGCGGCCTAAGCGTTGGGGGCTCGACCAGGCTGCGCAGGTGCATCCATGGGTTGGGGAGGAGCAGCCTGAAGGGGCGGTCTGGGCGGGTCTGGAGTCTCGGGCGCGTATGAGTTCGTCAGACTGGGGGGAAGGGAGGAACAGGATTCCATGTGTGCGACGGTGACCTTAAGTGACCGTGCCGCGCTCTGTAGGGGTGTGATTGTCTATCCCTGTAGTGGGTGTGTCATTGCGACTGACCATGCGCGAACCTCTGTTTGCAGGTGTGGCTGGATATCTCGGTTGTAGGTGTGTGGTTCTGTGAGGCTCCGTGTGTGTAAGGTGTGGCTGTCCCCACGGCGGATCTGTGAGTGTGTGTTCGTTTTGTGTGACATTGTGTGTACGAGATGGGCGTGTAAAGAATCTCTGATTATGCGGTCATGAGTGTTATCTGAGGAGTGTATGTGTGTGTGTGGTTTTATTTGTATGAATGTTAGCACGCTAAGCCTACTGGATGTCTGACTTTATGAGGACGTGTGAGTATGAACATGTAACTTTTTGTGGCACCGTGTGTGCAGTTGGAGGGTGCCTGTGATTGTTGCCAGGGTGGCATTGTGTTGTCCCAGTAGTTGTGTGAGGTCAAGAGAAGATTTTGGTTCTGGACAGCAGAAACTTCTTCCCTTCTGACATGCTCAGACTGGAATGTTCTGAACAGCCTAGACTCTGACCTCTCTCCATCCCTCCTCTCCATGGGAGCGGGGGTGGGGGGCGGGGAGTAGGTGTGAATCCAGAACTACTACTGCTTTGGTCAGTCTGGGCCACAAGAAAGGCCTGGCATCTCATGTTTCCTTTCTGGTTCCTCAGCTCTGCTCTTCTCAGTTAGGTCCCCAGAGGAAGAAGGAGGAATGAATGTTGAGGAAGCCAAATAAAAGGTGCTAGGGGGTTTCCTTTTTAAGCTTTTCTTCTGGGTGGCGTCGTTTAATGTAGACTCATCTATGGGACCTGGACAAATTTCCATTAAAGAAATGATGGGAACTTCAAGGGGTGGACACACAGATCCCAACAGTTCCCTTCATTTCTTTCTACATAGTATTCACTTACTAATTTAGAAAATAGCTCAATTTCTCCGGTATATTAAGCTTTTGCTTCTTTTTAAACATGCACATACATACGTACACATGATTATTTTAAGGAATTTGGAAAATGGGAAGTTACAGAGAGCAAAATAAACTCCTGCCACCCAAATACAACCATTGTCAAATATTGATCAATTTCCTTCTAACACATTTCCTGTGTGTACAGTATACATTATTTTCAAGATCAGAATCTCAAAGCATTTATCATTTCATATTTTATGTTTCCACTAAAATTTATAGCTATTATATAATTAATTTTTCTTGGTTAAAAATTCCTGAATATTACATATTTCCACAAAAGTGTTTAAAATATAGACATACAGTTTAAGAATTATAAAGGGAACCTCTATATAATAAAAACTTGTGTCCGCCCTCCAGAAGCCTCTGTTCTTCCTGCCCCCAGAATAAACTTATTCTCTTCACCTCTTTTGGTAACCCTTATTCTGACTTTGGTGATAATGTATTTTCTTGTTGTGTTTAAAAAAAAAAAAACAATTTATCATATATTTACACATCTCTAAGTAATATAGTTTTGTCTTTTTTGAAATTAAATTGTACTGGGTAATATTGTTTTGAGTCTTGTTTTTTTACCACAATATTGCATTTCTTAGACTTATCCTTATTGTTATAAACCCCAGTTATATATTTGGACATTTGTTTTTTTCTTGTTTTGGGCTCACTTAAAAGGGTTGCTCGGAACATTTTTTTTAAAGATTTTATTTATTTGACAGACAGAGACCACAAGTAGGCAGAGAGGCAGTCGGGGGGGTGGGGAGCAGGCTCCCCACTGAGCAGAGAACCTGATGCAGGGTTCGATCCCAGAACCCTGAGATCACGACCTGAGCTGAAGGCAGAGGCCCAACCCACTGAGCCACCCAGGTGCCCTAAACATGTTTTTATATGCATACTTTCCTAGGGTATAAACATGCAAATAGAATTACCAGGCCATAGGATATGTGTGTATCTTCAAATTTCCTAGATAATCATATGATATGTGGCCTTTTGTGACTAGATTTTTTTCATTTATCATGTTTTCAAGGTATATCCACATTGTGGTGTGTTACTAGAACTTCATTCCCTTTTATTGCTAAATAATATTCCATCGTATGGATAGGTCACATTTTGTTTACCCATTCGTCAGTTGAAAGACATTTAGATTATTTCCACTCTTTGGCTATTGTGAATAATGCGGCTATGAATATTCATGGACACGTTTTGTGTGAATATACGTTTTCAGTTCCCTTCAGTATATACCTAGAAATGAGACTGCTAAGTCATATGGGAACTCTGTTTAAGAAATGTCAAACCGGGGTGCCTGTGTGGCTCAGTTTCCCCCGCTAAATCCATTAGAAAACCAGTTTCCATAGGAAACAACTGCTTTATTTTTTCCCCATAACTTCTATTAAGCTTCTCTGGGCCAGTTAATTTCCTGCCTATGGATAAGTCTTTTCAGTCACAGTTGGAAAATAAACAGTCCTCTGGTTCCTTTCAGCCACAAAATTGGTCTAATTTTAGTAATTAGAATGTCCATTTCACTGTACTAATCGATGCCATAAATTTTAGTTTTAAAAAGCTATAAAAGTAAGGGCGCCTGGGTGGCTCAGTGGGTTAAGCCTCTGCTTTTGGCTCAGGTCATGATCTCGGGGTCCTGGGATCGAGCCCTGCATCGGGCTCTCTGCTCAGCAGGGAGCCTGCTTCTCCCTCTCTCTGCCTACTTGTGATTTCTGTCAAATAAATAAAATTTTAAAAAAAAGTTACACCTTGTTTTACATGGCAAAAACATATAGGCAAAGTTGTTGTTATTATTATTTTAGAAAAACAGCTATAGGGTAGGAATGAGGAGTGCCTCTGTGTATGGCTGAGGTGAGGAGTTCTGGGGGGATGGGAGTTGACAGACTGTCTTGGTCTTAAGAAGAGAGAAGACTTCATTAGGGAAGTCTTAGTCCTTCTGATCAGAGCATACTGGGTTCCTGGACAAAGGATACCATTTGGGTGAATTTGCTTGAAGACCTGAGTGAGGACCGCAGAGGAGGGATCTCCTCAGGCAGGTCAAAGTAGCTCGGTCTTGGGTTCACTGAAGTGGGACAAGGTCTGGCCTGAATCACTTGGCTGAGGCCAGAACCTGGCTTAATCAGATGAAGGAAAGGAATAGGAGTCTGTATTCCTTTGAATCCACTAGCCGGGATCCATTTTACTAGAGCTGAAGCCTTGGACTTCTGGGTTGAAGAAGTACGATTTATCCCATACTCCCACGAACCGCAGTTACATCATAAGACCCGGAGTGATCAGCTGAAAGCCAGTGTGGTTTTCTAGAACATTTCTTTGCTTCCCCAGTCCTGCTTTCTCAGAATACTATCCTTTCTCAGGAAAACAGCCCCAAGGATTCATCCTCTCCTGCAATACTGAAAGCCATGGCCCAGGTGAGTTGATGCTTTTTTCTTACCTTCCTGACATTTAGTTTCAAAAAGAAAGAAAGAAAAGAAAAAGAAAAAAATTTTCTAATGGTCATGTGACTGTTTGTTTTCCTACTCCTAACATTTTTGGCTATCAGGTTCCCTTTTCCCCTTCAGGATCCTTGGTCTCCTTTTCCCCTCAGTCTAACCAGATAATACATCACCATTCTTTTTTTTTTTTTTTTTTTTTTTTTTTTTATTTTTTTTTTTTTTTTTTTGACAGAGAGATCACAAGCAGGCAGAGAGGCAGGCAGAGAGAGAGGAGGAAGCAGGCTCCCTGCTGAGCAGAGAGCCCGATTCGGGGCTCGATCCCAGGACCCTGAGATCATGACCTGAGCCGAAGGCAGCGGCTTAACCCACTGAGCCACCCAGGTGCCCTACATCACCATTCTTAAGTGCCCTCTTCTTTTGACCCAGCATTAATATTTTGCTCTGGCATCTCTTTTCTCAGCCCTCTCCCAGGAACTATGATGGAAAGGAAATGAATTCTTATAAAAAGAAATGAGAGTAGTTTTGTAGAATGAACTTAGTCTTTCCAGTGACTTGAAGAGGTGGAGAAGTACAAGTTGCTTAGGTGGGAGCAAACACGGGTTTGTTCTATGGATCGGTATTTACCAGTGAGATAGAATAGGAAATGATGTTGGTAGTTCCAAATGTTAGACTGTTGCGACACCTCCTGGTTTATGAGCTTGGAAGATTGTGGTCTCGGTAGCTGATCCTATAGGTCTCTGTGACTTTTAGGGCATCCATGAACGAATTTCAATTTGAAGTTGAACAGGAAGTGTGGGTCATGAGGAATTTCCATATGACTCACCAGTTTGTTTTTTTTTTAATCTCAGCAATAAAGATACTCCCTAAAGGGAGATACTTGCATCTCTTTTAGCTGTTTACAATAGAATATATCCATATTTTAATGAATATTCCTATATTGCTATCTTGATTAATCAAATTTTTTGACATTTTGTAGTTATTTTTTTGCAAGGTATGTGTGCATTTAGATTTGCTATATTACACTCTACTTCCTTATCCCACAACAGTTATATCACAATTTTGTTTAAAGCAATGCTATTTTGTGATTAGAGCCTTGCGGATATTCTGTTCTCTACCAACCGCCTTTAAAATTTTTCATAATAATGAATTTCAGACATAGGAAAGTGGAGAAGTTAAGAACTCCCATATACTTACCATTCAGCTTCACCTCCCAGTCAATCTTGTTTCATTTATACTGATACTTGTTTCTTCCTTACACATTACCCTGCCCTCCCTCCTATATGCAGGATTATTTTGAAGAAATTACAAATTGTATTTCTAAAAGATAAGGATTATTTTTAAGAACAACCATTATGCCATTATTGCCTCTAGAGAAGTTAAAAGTAATTTGTTAGTATCATCAATATCTAGCCAGTGTTCAAATTTTCATAATCGTTGAATTAATTGCTTATTTGAATTAGAATCCAAATAAGGACTGTGCACTGCAGTTCACTGAGGTCTTTTGAGTGTCTTATTTTGTAGGTACCCCTTCCATCTATTTTCTTTCTGTGTATGTTTTTGTTAGAAAAGGGAAAAAAATGGTTTGTTTGTCCACTCTTTGGATTTTGCCGATTGCATCTCTGTGGCATCATTTAACTGTTTCCTGAAAATTGGTAGTTAAGTCTAGATGTTTGATCAGAGTCAGTTGGGATTTTTTTTTTTTTTTTTGTCATGAGTATGTCATAGGTGGTGATATGTGAGTCTATCAGGAGGCACATTATATCTGGTTCTGTTCCTTTTTGTAATGTTACCCACCATTGATGGTTATTGTCTAGATTAGAGGTTGCAGAATGATATTTTAATTCTGTCATTCCTCCTTCATAGATTAGGTGAAATCCTCTTTATAAATTAAAATTTCTCATCAACTGTCTGGTTACCCTAAAGGATAGTCTGTCTAGGAAAGAATATTTGAATAATGAGTTAGTTTCTTAGAATCCTAAAAAGGTGACCAGAAGGTTTTTTAATTCATTGTTGTTATGAGCTCATGATTTAAACATTTTTTAATCTATAGGTCCATTATATTAGATCATAAAATTATACCATTTTTGGCCATTGAGAGGCTCTTCAAGTTGGTGCCTGAGTCCTTGTAACATGATTCTAATAGTTTTTGATAGCTCTCTTGCTTTCTGATACAATAGAATAGTTCAGACTCATCCTGTGCATTTCTGACTCAATCCTGAAATCATCTCTTTCCCCAATGGACCTTGGTTCTTTTTATTTGAATATGATACTTAAGGACTACAGTGTAGACACTGGGGTGTTTATTTGTACTGGATGAATTATTATTTCTAGGCCTTTTCAATAAATAAAATCAGGAACTTGTTTGTTTTCAATATAAAATAAACTGATTACCCTTTTTCTTCAGTTAACATACAATGTTATATTTGTTTCAGGTGTACAATATAGTGATTCAGCAATTCCATATATTACTCAGTGCTCATCAAGATAAGTGTACTCTTAATCCCCTTCATTTATTCCACCCATCCCCCGACCACCTCTGCTCTAGTAACCATTTGTTTTTTCTCTATGGTTTAGAGTCTTTTTTTTTTTTTTTTTTGGTCTCTCTCTTTTTTTCCTTTGTTGGTTTGTTTCATTTTTAAAATTTGACATATGAATGAAATTATATGGTATTTGTCTTTCTCTGACTTGCTTATTTTCCTTAGATCCATCCATGTTGTTGCAATGGCAAGATTTCATTCTTTTTATGGCTGAGTAATATTCCATTGTCTATATAAATACCATACCTTGTCCATTCACCTATCAATGGACACTGAGGTTGCTTCCATGATTTGAGTATTGTAAATAATGCTGCTATATAAACATAGGGGTGCATGTATCCCTTTGAATTAATATTTTGTATTCAGTAATGCAATTACTGGATCGTAGAGTAGTTATATTTTTAGTTTTTTGAGGAACTTCCATACTGTCTTCCACAGTGGCCGCACCAGTTTGAATTCCCACCCTAGGGCAAGAGGGTTCCTTGTTCTCCATGTCCTCACCAACACCTGTTGTTTCTTGTGTTGTTGATTTTAGTCATTCTGACAGGTGTGAGGTGATATCTCATTGTGGTTTTGATTTACATTTCCTGATGAACAGTGATGTTGAGCATCTTCTCATGTATCTGTTGGCCATTTGTATGTCTTCCTTGGAGGAATGTCTGTTCGTGTCTTTTGCCCATTTTTAAAAATTGGATTATTTGTTTTTAGGATGTTGAGTTGTATTAGTTTTTTATATATTTTGGATATTAACCCTTTATCAGATATGTCACTTGCAAATATCTTCTCTCATTCTGTAGGTTGCCTTTGCAACCTTTATTGATTGTTTCCTTTGCTATGCAGAAACTTTTTATTTTCATGTAGTCCCAATAGTTTATTTTTGCTTTTATTTCCCTTGTCTCAGGAGACATATCTAGAAAGATGTTACAGCTGATATCAGAGAAATTACTACCTGTGGTCTCTCCCAGGATTTTTATGATTTTAGGTCTCATGTTTAGGTCTTTAATTCATTTTGAGTTTGTTTTTGTATATGGTGTAGGAAAGTGGTCCAGTTTCATTCTTTTGTATGTCGCTATTGAGTTTTCCCAGCACCATTTGTTGAAGAGACTGTCTTTTCCCCATTGTATATTCTTTCCTCTCTTGTCAAAGATTAATTGGCCACATAATTGTGGTTTTATTTCTGGGCTTTCTGTTTTGTTCCATTGCTCTATGTGTCTGTTTTTGTGTCCGTTCCATACTGTCTTGATAATTACAACTTTATAATTTAACTTGAAGCCTGAAATTGTGATAACTCCAGTTTTGTTATTTTTCAAGATTGCTTTGGCTATTCCAGTCTTTTGTGGTTCCATACAAACTTTAGGAGTGTTTGCTTTAGTTCTGTGAAAAATGCTGTTGGTATTTTGATACGGATTGCATTAAATCTGTAGATTGCTTTGGATCCTACAGACATTTTAATGGTATTTGTTCTCCCAGTCCATGAGTATGGAATATCTCCATTTATTTGTCATCTGCAATTTCTTTCATCAGTGTTTTATAGTTTCCAGAGCATGGGTCTTTCACAACTTTGGTTAAGTTTATTCATAGATTTTCTTTAAGATTTTATTTTTGGATGTATTCTCTACAGCCAACATGGGGCTCAAACTTAAAACCCTGAGATCAGGAGTCACATGCTCTACCAACTGAGCCAGCCAGGCACCCTCTAGATATGTTATTATAAAATAAACTAATTACTCCTGCATCTATTTTTAAGATCCAAAGATAATGATTAAGAGTGATACAATACAGTCATTCATTTGCTTTACCCCACAGTACAAGTGCAATAGTCTCTGATTATTTCTTTTATTACACAAGTAATACATATGTTTATTGTTTCAGGGATCAGTGATGTTCAGTGATGTGTCTGTAGACTTCTCACAGGAAGAGTGGGAGTGCCTGGACCCTGGTCAGAGGGACTTGTACAGAGATGTGATGTTGGAGAACTATAGCAATCTGCTGTCAATGGGTAAGGGCTTCTATACCAGTAATTTAGACTTCTCCTCTGGCATGTTTCTTCCACAGTGAATTTCCCAGCTGCTTTTCAAGTTACCGGCTGAATTTCTGCTCCCTATTCCCAAATAAGTGGTTTAAGCTGCAATGCAAAGGAAGAGTTGGAAATGGGCAACTCCAGTGACTGTGGCAGAAGCTTCATCCTCTTTCTTTGGCTTTTCCTGTAGTGGCATCTCCTCTTTGGTCATCAAGGGACTGAATCTGATTTCTGGATCTGGTTTACCCACAGCGTAACCATGTCCCATATCTTTTCTTGTGAGCAGGACTTTACATTCCTAAGCCTCAAGTTATCTCCTTATTGGAACAAGGGAAAGAGCCCTGGATGGTTGGCAGAGAGCTGACAAGAGGCCTGTGTTCAGGTGAGTGAGAAGCGATTGGGCAGGAGCAAGGCACCACAGGTAAACCCAGCACCTTTGAGGTGTTGTCTAGGCTTGTGGGAAAAAACCAAGTCCTCTTAGAATGAGTTTACAAATGACCCATTTCATTCCTTCTCTCACTTACTACTCTTTCTGCTACTCTTCTCCAACAACTGCCATAATTTCAAATAGGAGGGGCTCTTCACTTCCCCTCCAATAAAACACTTTTACACGGGGCCCCTGGGTGGCTCAGTGGGTAAAGCCTCTGCCTTCGGCTCAGGTCAGGATCCCAGAGTCCTGGGATCCAGCCCCGCATCGGGCTCTCTGCTCAGCAGGAAGCCTTCTTCCTCCTCTCTCTCTCTGCCTGCCTCTCTGCTACTTGTAATCTCTGTCAAATAAATAAATAAAATCTTTATAAAAAAACAAAAACAAAACCAAACACTTTTACCCATATTTTAGATCCAGTTCCTTGCTGCTTTTCTTCCTCTCACCTAAATGTTGTGTGTGTATGCATGACTGCACATGCGCATATGCACTGCCCCTCCTCCAAGTGCTGGTCTTCGTGAGTATTACTTGCCAGTGACTTGTTTTATCAGTTGGTTGTGCATTTTTCCTTTACCCAGTGTTTTTCATTTACTGATTTGTGCAAGGGTGCCTGCCAGGTGCTGTCGTTTGCTAATCATGTCACCTATTAAGAACTTGGGAGTCAAAAAGTAGTGCTAAAATATATCCATGAATAATTTCCACCAAGTAGAGTCTAGTAAAAAGAATCAGGGAGCTCAGCGGGAAGTCAGAGGCTCAATATGCAGAAGTGGAAAATTCGTACTGAATGAGTAGTTGGGAGGCTTGCAAGTGATTGCCGTCACCTCCTGTGATGACGATGTTGGGGAAAATGAAAAGGCCTATAATGGAAATGAAGAGGTGGCAGAGAAGGCGAGATTTAGGATAAAGTGTTACCTTATCGTAAATGCTCCAGAAAAGCATTACTATATAGTAAGTATTGGTCCCGGTCTGGGATTACAGCATTGAATAAAACATTCAGAGTTTTGCTCTGGTGGAGCCTGTGTTCTAGAGGGTGAGGGAGAAAAAATAGATATGTTTATAATGTCAGATGGTGGGAAGTGGTATGAAGGGAGGTTAGAGAAGGCCTCTTTGATGAGGTGATAATTTAACCAAGACCTGCAGGAAGCGAGTGAACAAATGTTGTAAGTATCTGGTAGAAGAGATTCAGGCAGAAGGAAAAGGAAGAACAAAGTCCCCGGATGAGGAGCTTTTTGGCTTTTACCATTGTGATTGGAACGGAATAAGCAAAGAGGGACTTGTGGGAAAGGAGATCAGCAAAGTAGCAGGATGTACGTGTGCTTGTGTGTTTGTGTGCTAGGTGCATGTGAGAGGTAGGGTGTACCTGCTGATGATTTGGGGTCCTGTGGGCCTTGGCTGTGGGCTTTGAATTCTATTCTGAATGAGATGATTTGAGCAGAGGAATGACATCACATTTTTAAGGAGGTTGCTAATTTTGGATTCTTTTGAATAGAATTTAGGGCATCTGTGAACTTGGATAAGAAGAAAAAATACATCTTTATATTTACTAAACTCAAACTGAAAATTGCATATCTTCCTACTGTGGTGTTTGGAACAAACCATAGCAGTATTAGTAGTTCCTGTGACTTTGACATGAATGGAAATCACAGACATTTTCATATCATCTTACTGCTAATGTAGACATATTGAAAAATAATTCGTGCTGTCAGTATTTCAGAATTACTGTAGTACTAGGCTCAGTGCTAGGTCTTACAATTTAATGTATTAAGAAAACTCCAGGGTGTCTGGGTGGCTCAGTTGGTTTTGTCTACCTTCAGCTCAGGTCATGAATCCAGGGTTCTGGGATCGAGGCCCACATCAGGCTCCCTACTCAGTGGGGCATCTGCTTCTCCCTCTCCATTTGCCCCCCACTCCCTGCCCCACCACTCACGCTCTCTCTCTCTAATAAATAAAATCTTTTAAAAAAAAGAAAAGAAAAGAAAACTCCAGATGGAGGGAAGGCCATGTAAGGCCAAGGAAGGCCTGTAAAGGCCCTTCTAGGAGGAGAAAGCTTGATGTGTTTACAGAACTGAAAGAAAGTGGGGTTACTGGGCCAATGAGCAAGCAAGAGTGGAGTGTGAGTCAGGATTGGAGATCAGTTGGTCTTTGCCAGTGAGTGTGAGGAGTTTGGTTTCAAGCAGTGGAACACCAGGCCACGTTAATTTGGGTTGCTGAATGGATTAAAGAGTGTGAGAACTTGGTGGGGAGATGGGTTGGGAGGCTACTTCAGTGGTCTGAGTAAGAGATGATTCTGGCTTGGAAGAGAGGCCATTGGCAGTAGACATAGAAGAGGATAGTTTTAAATGCTACTTAGGAGCTTAACTGTATGGAAACTGCTGAAATAATCCTATAGGGCTAGGAAAATAAAAAAGAATATGCTGGAACAAATTCCTCGTTTCTGGCTTGAGATGTTCCAACAGGCTCCATTTTGATGTCTTCAAACCATTTAATTTGCCTAAAATCCCCATTTTTGATAAGAAATTTTTTCATAATAATAGCTATTCTTTATCATACTACAGAGCCCAGAAATCTTCCCCAATGAGTATTTATTCCTCTCAGGAAGCCTTTAATGGAGGTCAAGAAATTATCCACTTTTTGTGGTACATATAGTATGACGGTTTCTTACGTGTACATACATGCATGCTTATATACATGTATGTATGACTTGTAATCTTTTCATATGCCCAGGTATTGTACGTTTACTATCCTTCCCTTCTGATTCTGATGCACATCAATATTTGAGAATCATTGTGGGTTCCTTTTTCTGTAGTCTCCTCCCTCACAATCTGCATTAGATCTCATTAATTTCAGTGCATTTTGGGGGTCTCTTTTCAGATTAAACAGATGTACTTGAGAACTGTATGTCATTTACTGTGAGATGCTGTTTTCACTTTAATTTTCCTATTTCTATTATAAAAGTGGTGGGAGTAGGGTGGTAAGAATATTTACCATTTCATTTTCTTTCAGATCTGGAATCAATGTGTGAAACCAAGTTACTGTCTCTGAAGAAGGAAGTTTATGAAATAGAGTCATGCCAGAGGGAGATAATGGGACTTACAAAGCATGGCTTTGAGTACTCCAGTTTTAGAGACATTTTGGAATATAGAAACCACTTTGAAAAACAACTGGGATATCAAAGTGGGCATTTCAGCCAAGAAATACTCACTCATGAATACATGCCCACATTTATTCAACAGACATTCTTAACTCTACATCAAATAATTAATAATGAAGAGAAACCCTATGAATGTAAGAAATGTGGAAAGGTCTTTAGTCAGAATTCACAATTTATTCAACATCAAAGAATTCATATTGGTGAAAAATCTTATGAATGCAAGGAGTGTGGGAAATTCTTTAGTTGTGGCTCCCACGTTACTCGACATCTGAAAATTCATACTGGTGAAAAACCCTTTGAATGTAAGGAATGTGGCAAGGCTTTCAGTTGTAGTTCATACCTTTCTCAACATCAGAGAATTCATACTGGTAAGAAGCCCTATGAATGTAAGGAATGTGGGAAAGCCTTTAGCTATTGTTCAAATCTTATTGACCATCAGAGAATTCACACTGGTGAAAAACCCTATGAATGTAAAGTATGCGGGAAAGCCTTTACTAAGAGCTCACAACTTTTTCAACATGTGAGAATTCATACAGGTGAGAAACCCTATGAATGTAAAGAATGTGGCAAAGCTTTCACTCAGAGCTCAAAGCTTGTTCAGCATCAGAGAATTCATACTGGTGAAAAACCCTATGAGTGCAAGGAATGTGGCAAGGCCTTTAGTAGTGGCTCAGCGCTTACTAATCATCAGAGAATTCACACTGGGGAGAAACCCTATGATTGTAAGGAATGTGGGAAAGCTTTTACCCAGAGCTCACAACTTCGTCAACATCAGAGAATTCATGCTGGTGAGAAACCCTTTGAATGTCTTGAATGTGGGAAGGCCTTTACTCAGAACTCACAACTTTTTCAACATCAGAGAATTCATACAGATGAAAAACCATATGAATGTAGTGAATGTGGAAAGGCCTTTAATAAATGCTCAAATCTTACGCGACATCTGAGAATTCACACTGGTGAAAAGCCGTATAACTGTAAGGAATGTGGGAAGGCATTTAGTAGTGGCTCAGATCTCATTCGTCATCAGGGAACTCATACTGATGAATAATAAAAGTTAAAGCTCTTGTTACCTTCCTGATATTTTAAACAAAAAAAAAAATCATGTTTGGTAGTTACACTTTCACTATTTTTTGTTTTTAAATTTTATTTCATATTTCTTTTTAATTCAAATGTATTTCAGTCTAAGTTATGAATTAAGATTCTAAATTGACATTTGCCCATCCCATGTCCCCCAATCTTGTACTTAGGGCAGTTGTTCAGTAATTATTTTCTTGCCCCTTATTTTATTTTACCTTCTTGGTGAGACATTCTTGTTTATATTTGCTTGAATTTTTTTTCTTCTCTGATCTATGTGTTTGTGCTTACACCAATATCATGCTGTTTAAAATTGTGTGACCTTGTATTTTTTAATCGTAGAATTACAACCTTGTTTTTGAAGTCAGTATTAATCTTTCATTTCATTTCACAAATGAAAGATTCTGAATCTTTCATTTCACAAATGAAAGATTCAGAATCTTTCATTTCACAAATTTGTATTTTCTTACATAAAACGGAAAATCAGAAAACCAGCAACTAAAAACCAAGATTAACAGTAATCATAGCAACTATCAATGACTACTCTTAAGATGATAGAGCAAACCTCCCAGACTTTGTTTTTAAAGTCATGGTATGCATGCGTGTTATCCCTTCACCTGTTTTTATATCATGCAAAAAAATATGGTTGCCATTTTAGTAAATACAGATTTTTAAAATGAGTTATATATACTTAATTACTTTTCAAAATGATTTGATTACTCATGTTCTATTTGCATCTGTTTGCAGTTATGAAGTGTGCCCTGATTTTTGATCTTTGAATGTTTCTTTCTTTCTTTCTTTTAAAACATCTATTTCAATCGCTGAAATTATGCGCATTTTCTCCCTGTAAACTGTTTTGTTCCTTTTTATCCACCCCAGTCTCATGCTAGAAAGGTAATTAACCAGTTATCAGTGTGTTGTTTACATCTAGTTTTTGTTTTTACTTCTCACTTTTATATGTTAGTGGCTTTTATTTCTTATGTATTATTAAAGATAATCATGTTATATGTAGGGGTTTGTTGTGAGGATTCAATGAATTAATAAATGTAAAGTGCTTAGAACTATTCCTATTACATAGTAAATGCTTAGTAAAAGTTGTCCACTGTGTTTCTTGATACACTGATTTTCATAGTTATCTTTATTATTTGTAGAGATTACTTTTTTTAAAGTTTATTTAAGGGGCGCCTGGATGGCTCAGTGGGTTAAGCCTCTGCCTTCGGCTCTGGTCATGATCCCAGAGTCCTGGGATCAAGCCCCGTGTCGGGCTCTCTGCTTGGCAGGGAACCTTCTTCCCCCTCTCTCTCTCTGCCTGCCTCTCTGCCTACTTGTGATCTCTCTCTGTCAAATAAATAAATAAAATCTTAAAAAAATAATAAAGTTTATTTAAATAATCTCTATACCCTATGTGGTACTTGAATTCATGACCCTGAGATTGAGAGTAACATACTCTTCCAACTGAGCCAGCCAGGTGTACACATATTGGAATATTAGAATATAAAATTCTTTACTCAAATCCTATTTGTGTAAAGGATTTTTAACCATGTTGTTTACCTTTGTCTAAGAGAATTCCTAATGGAAAAAAGAGATTAATGTAATGAGATATAGGAAAGGTTTTCTCATCACTCATTATTCAGCATGAAATTTTAAAAGAAAAAAAGAATTTGTGGATAGTCTTCCTTCAGACTCCACCTTCTATGCCTGCACAAGATTAATGCCAGTCTGAAACCCTGTGAATATGATGAATAGTTGAAAGCACAGCTATCAAAAAACAGGAAGAGATAAGAATATTATTCCTAATAATTAGTTCCCCCCCAAAACAGAAAACATACAGGCCACAATATTTGACCAGAATGGAAGAAACCATAACAACAGGATAGCTGTCAAATATCTGAATTTTAACTTAGTGCTCCCTATTGATTAACATGGGTTAGGGAACTAAGTCCTTAATGTACATATTATTTAATGTGAGTGAAAATGCACACAATTGAAAAACCTGTGAATGGCAGGTTGTATTGGAAGTTTTATAAACCATTATGCATGTATATATTAAAATGCTAGAGGGGTCATTACTAAACTCAACATAGAACTCAAGGAGCTTAAATAAGCAAAAACAAGTCTAAAATATGAGTAGAGAAAGGCATTAATTGTACAGAAATAAATGAAAAAAGTGGACAAGCTGAAATAGAAAATTTGATTATTTGACAAAAAAAGTAGACATATTTTGGTCACTTGTGTGGGGAAATAAGGATGATAGATGAGCAATACTATGAAATTGAAGTGACTACATATTTAAAAGGACTTTATCTTTCTGGGTTATGACAATGTTCTGAGATTTGTGGTGTATGGTTGTACAACTTTGTGAAGATACTAAAAACTACTGAACAATATACTTTAAAAGGGTGAATATAATAGTATTTGAATTTTATCTCAAGGTAAAAGTACTATAGATATTTTTATACCATATGTGAAAATCTGGACAAAGTATGGGGATTTTTATAAAGAAATTGAACTGACATCAGAATTGACTAGAGCAGGGCGCCTCTGCCTCGGTTCAGGTCATGATCTCAGGGTCCTGGGATTGAGCCCCACATCGGGCTCTCTGCTCAGCAGGGAGCCTGCTTCCCCACCACACCCCACCTCCCCCCCGCCTTTTTGCCCAATTGTGATCTCTCTCTCAATCAATCTATCTATCTATCTTAAAAAAAATTGACTAGAGCAGAGGTGTAAAATCTTTTTTTTTTAATTTTTTTTAAGATTTTATTTATTTATGTGACAGAGATCATAGGTAGGCAGAGAGAGAGGAGGAAGCAGGCTCCCTGCTGAGCAGAGAGTCCGATGTGGGGCTCGATCCCAGGACCCTGGGATCAAGACCTGAGCCGAGGGCAGAGGCTTTAACCCACTGAGCCACCCAGGCGCCCCAGTGCTTATATAATTTTATCATGTGTGTAAGTTTCTTATAGCCACCACAATATACAAAACTTTAATCACCACAAGGCTACCTTGATGCTATCACTTTATTTTTTTTTAAGATTTTATTTATTTATTTGACAGAGATCACAAGTAAGCAGAGAGGAAGTCAGAGAGAGAGAAGCAGGCTCCCTGCTGAGCATAAAGCCTGGTGCAGGGCTCGATCCCAGATCCCTGGGATCATGACTGAGCCAAAGGCAGAGGCTTTAACCCACTGAGCCACCCAGGCACCCTGATACTACCACTTTATAACCATGCCCACCACTTCCCACATCCTTAAGCCCTGGTGACTATTAATCTGTTCACCATTTCGATAATTTTTTAAATTTCAAGAATGCCATATAAATGGAGTCATACAATACATAGACTCTTGTGACTGGCTTTTTTTTTTTTCCCCTTCAGCATAATTGCCTTGAAATCCATCTGAGTTGTTGCATATACTAATGGTTGAGTAGTATTCCATGATGTGACTATACCACAATTTTTTTTGTTTTTTAATTTTTTTTTTTAATGTGCCACAATTTAAAAAACTATTTCTCCATTCAAGGATATGTGAATTATTTCCAAATTTTGGCTATAACGAATAAAGCTAATATGAACATTCGTGTACAGACTTCATGTAAACACAGTTTTCAGTTCTCTGGAATAAATGCAAAAGAGTTCCATTGCTGAGTCATATGGTAAGTGCATTTTGAGATTTATAAGAAACTGCTGAACTATTTTCAAGAGTGGATGTGTTGTATTACTGTATTATATATACTGCAATACATAGGTGATCTAGTTCTCCACATCCTCACCCGCCTCTGCTGTTGTCACAATATTTTAGCCATCCTGCCCCTAAAGGAAAGTAACCTTGCAATAACAAATCTGATTTTTTTTTATTTTTTTATTTTATTTTTTTTTTTGCCTAGTACAGTTTTCTTGTTCCTGCTCTCTTCTGACTATAAAATCTCTTGCTTTGTATGGCTCTTTGGAACTCCTTTTTACCTACTAGATTGAGTGCTACCCAATTAAGGAATGTGGAATAAAGCCAGGGAGATCTTTAAGTTTTGCCCAATTGAATTTTAATATAGCAGAGGTCTCTAGATGCCTGGTTTCTCACCCTGGGATGATTTAGCACAGATAAGGCAGATAGAAGATGGTTGGGATATATAGACCCTGGTTTGGTTGGTTTATATGTAAAAGACATGCTTCTTGCTAAGCCCCTTGCTAGCTCTAAGAATTGGCCAGGCCTGGGAGGGAATCTTTCTCCAGGTCTGTAAGGCTCCCAAAGGCCCAAACATCAGGAATACAGAAAATAAGAAAACATACTTAATGCAACTGGGCTTGTGGTAAATAGATGCCAAAGAGACACAGACAGAATCTAAGAAAACACAGAACTCATATATACAATAGAATCATACTCATCAATAAAAAGGAGTTAGCTATCGATAGGGGCAACAACTTGGCTGGAACTTAAGGGCATTGTGCTTAATGGAAAAAAAGCCAATATCAAAAGGCACACCTTGTGTGGTTTTGTTTTTTTTTTTAAGATTTTATTTATTTATTTGACAGAGATCACAAGTAGGAAGAGAGGCAGGCAGAGAGAGAGGAAGCAGGCTCCCTGCTGAGCAGAGCACCCGATGCGGGGCTTGATCCCAGGACCCTGAGATCATGACCTGAGCTGAAGGCAGAGGCTTAACCCACTGAGCCACCCAGGCGCCCCCCTTGTGTAGTTCTATTCGACATCTTCAAAATGACCAAACTATAGTGACAGGGAAAAGGTCAGTAGCTGCCAGGGGACAGGGACATGGATGGGTTGATTAGGTGTGGCTATTAAGGGGTAGCAGATGGGGCTCCTCTGAGGTTATGGAACTGACTGTGGTCGTGGTTACGGGAATCTGTACATGAGGTCAGCATGCCCCGCACTGTCAGCACACACAGACACACATGAGCGTATGTACAAACTGATGAAAAT